CACCCCACCCCATTGCACTCCCCTTTTCCCATCACGCTTCTGTGCCCCATCACAAGCAGCTTTCACCCTCACACCTCACCTTACGTGCCCCTCACCCCACCACATGCACCCCTCCCTCTGCCTCGAGGCCCCTCACCCTACTGTGAGGTCCCTTCACCCTGGCACTGCCCCCTGCCCCCCCGGCAGGCAGGCACCCCGGGCACCGCTGCCCGCAGCCACCCCTCTCCCTGCCCTCAGGGCGCCTGCCAGCACTGAAGACGCGGGACGAGGGCACCATCTCCAAAACGCAGCAGATCATAACTCACCTCAGGAAACAGGTGGGGGGGGGACGTGGCAAGGGGCACCCCCAGCGCCAGGCTGGGGAGCACTGGAGCCCCCCTGGGAAGAGTGGGCTTCGTTGCAGTCGCCCAAGAGGCGGGGGCAGGGTTAGCCACTTCCGTGCCAAATGACGTCTGCTGCGTTGGCTCTGCAGAAGTACAATGCCGACTACGACCTCTCGGCGACGCAAGGTGCGGACACGCTGGCCTTCGTGTCCCTGCTGGAGGAGAAACTGCTGCCGGTGCTGGTGAGGCTCCCTGTGGAAGTGCCTCAGGGGCAGGTGTGGGGTCTCTGGGGCAGCCAGTCCTGTGCTGGGCACAAAGCGCCTGTGTGAGCCGTGCTGGGCACATGCTCTGCGGTGCCCACTGTGGTGAAAGGCAGCACTGGCCCCTCCCCCCGCCATGGCCTGGGCACGGCTTCTTCTCTCCTGCAGATCCACACCTTCTGGGTGGACGCAAAGAACTACGTGGAGCACACGCGGAAGTGGTACGCGGAAACTGTTCCCTTCCCCCTGAACTTCTTCCTGCCCAACTCTATGCACAAGCAGCACCTGGAGCGGCTGCAGCTCATGTGGGGAGATAGCTACATGGAGGATGAGGAGAAGCTGGAGAAGGAGGTGAGGGGATGTGGTGTGGGCATGGCCAGCCCTCAGTGGGTGCCTAGAGGGACCCACGCAAGACCAAAATCTTAACTGAGGTTTGGAGGTTCACCCCGTCTGAGCATCCACTTCCCACTTATGTGGCCAGGTGGGTGACAACCCTGTGTCCTCTTTCTCCAGCTCTACCAGGATGCTCGGGAATGCCTGACTCTCCTGTCCCAGCGCCTCGGCTCACAGAAGTTTTTCTTCGGAGACTCGTAGGTGGCCATGGGGGAAGGATGCTCTGGGGCCTGAGCCAGGCAGGACTGAGACCTCTTGGTCTCAGCTGGGTTGGACAGGCTCGCAGGGTCAGAGCCTTGCCAACGCAGATTGACACGGGCAGCAGGCATTAAGGCTGCGGGAGCTGCCGCCAGCCCCATCGTCTCTTTCCCCATCTCTCACTGGAGCCAGCCTCGCTGCTCTGCGATGAGATCGTCCTGCTCTTTCAGGGGCTGGAAGCAGAGAGCCCTCCCCAGGAGGAGGAGGAGCTGCTTGCTGTCCCCTTGGGGTGGCTGATACCTCTGGGTGGCTTTGGGGAGGGATGGTGGGAGGGAGTGTGACACAGTCACAGGTCTCTGTGCCCCAGGCCAGCCTCCCTCGATGCCTTCGTCTTCAGCCGCCTGGCGCCGCTCCTGAAGGCGAAGCTGCCCAACGGGAAACTGCAGCAGCACCTGAAGTCCCTGCAGAACCTGTGCAACTACTGCACCTCCATCCTCAGCCTCTACTTCCCCTGGGATGGAGGTGAGATGCCTACTCGCCCTCGCCTCACAGGCTCAGAGTGACCCATCCCCCTTCACACTCCTGCTCTGCTCCCCAGGGGAGCCCCC